GGGGTTGGGTTTTGTGAGCTCTGCCCCAAATCCACCATGGTTGGACGTGTGGCCTCCCATGCCTGCTTCTTCCCCTTGGACGAAGTCGTTGTCGGGGCTTTTGACTTCGGGCCCTTGGCCTTTTTATGAACGTTGTCCAAAAGGGTTGATGGATCGAAAGACATCTCGAATTCTACAAGCAAAAATGTCAAAGGCATTAGCTCAAACTATAGGTCGATGATTATCCATGAAATATCAAATAATGCATAAAAGAGAGATCGTACCCTCGAGGCCTTTCACGTTAGCAAGGTCAAGGGTGTCGTCTTCAAGCAAGAAATCAATCTTGTCTGCCAAGGGGTCGTGGTTCACTAACCTCAGCCTATCTCTCTCTAAAACCTCCAAATAGGCCTGACCTTCGTTAAACCTATCTTTATCGGGGATTTCCCCCTCGAGCTAAAGGGATGATCGAGGTCTTGAGGTTTCACAAAAAAGAAATGCACCTTCCAACCTCTAAGTAAGCTCGGGGTATCAGGAGTTCAAAACCCCCCCTTTGTTGGCAAATAAACAAAACAATTATACCCCAGGGAAAATTTCATGTCAAACACCATTTGAAGTAGGTCGGCCCTAGGCTCAACCTTGAGGCATCTACATAGTATGAAGAAATACACTAATAACCTCCAACCGTCCGAGGCTAGTTGACCCGGACACAGATAGTATGAGGTCAGAAAATGAATGAAAAATGAGTGAAGAGGCCACCTAAGCCCGGCCTTAAGAGCATCCCTAAAAAAGGTCATCTCCCCCTCTCGAGCTCGTAACACGGTATCAGTAGGCCCTGGGGTTCTAATATCACAAAATGGCATGACCCCGAACTCTCTAGCTATTTTAATAATTACATGTTCTTTGTACTTGATCGGTTCCTTGGGATAGGTTAGGACGTCGCTATGGGAGTTAACGGTGATGGCCATAGGTATAATGGATGTATTTACATCTTCAGGCCTATCACTATGGTTCGAGTCCCTAGGAGCCTGACTACTGTCACTACTACTTGACCCTATGCTATCACTACTCGACATTATGCTATAATCAAATAAAACAACTTAAGGGCTCGAACTCTTACCTTTGTGGATAGTCACTCACAAACCCTACTAATCCCCGACCTCGAGCTCGATTTACTGGGAGTTGAGAGTTAAAAGTGAAAAAATGAGAGTGAAAATTGGGATATTTATAGGGGACTGTGAAATACCAACGATCATGCAATCTCACCCCTTGGACCAAGACACGTGGCGAGAATCTAAGGTCGTGCTCTGACATTACACGTGGCGGCCATCTGAGATAATCCTCTGACATCCCATCCAACACTCGACACGTGGAGAAACATCTGGACGTTCATGCCTCTACATCTTCGCTCGTAGACCAGAATGAAACGGCATCTACGACCTCGATGCACGGGGGCCAGTGATGATTCCAAATCTCGTTAGTCTCGAACTCGACCACTTGACCCCGATCACACCCTACAACCCCGACCTGTGCATCCTCTAAAAACACCAAAACAAGGTCGGGCATTTAAGGTCAGGGTGCGTGTGTCGACTCATCAACCTTCATATGTGACCTATGGAAGCACTAATCCTACCTTGAAAACAATCCCTACCTTGTTAGACTACTTCTTTGACTCGAACAGTGATTTGAATGCTTGAGGTGAAACACCAACTCCTCTTCCTAGAGGAGAAGGATTGTGGCAGAATAAGTCCTCCTAGGACTCCACCACTGACACCTATAAATACACAACCTGTGCTCACTCCAAAGATACGTTCTTCATTATTATCCTCAGTTTATAGCCTCACGCATTAAATTTCCTATCTGACTTAAGCATCGGAGAGGCGGCGAGCACACACATCGTTGCCTTTGTTTCAAGTACTGAAAGGCGCAGTTCGTGTTCCATCCCAGTCATCAAGCTCGAGATCTTCAGGTGATATTTTTTGGTAGCATCACTTATATTAATTTAGAATAATCATAATATCTCTTTTGTTTTACATAATTCAAATTCCATATATAATTAGTAAACTTGAATTGAAATTTATTCTTTGTGGGACGATACTCTCAACTTATAAATTCTATTACTTGTCAACGGGTCCCGACAAGCCGAGCGGATGAGCTAACTAGTTACTTGGCTCATTTGCCACCCCTTAGAAGAAGGCTTTTGTGCATATATGTGCACATGGATGGCCGAAATGTATCACCTTTACTTTAAAAGAGTGAATGTGGAGATTATTGTTCATTTATGAGTACATTGTGTTAACACTTGTTTGGTTATACTAACAGACCTTGACAGAGAGACTGTAGTTGAACTGGTTCGTACTACTCTTTTCTTACTTTTTTTCCATCCATATGTTTTGCAGCCTTCATAGCCATAATGTGGCATTCCAATTTTACCCTTATGTACAATATTGAATGAAAAAAATGTGTGCTTTATGAATAGAAGGGTATTTCTATCAATTTAATTCTGAATTTGAGGGTGTAATGGTCCTTCCAATATATGTCAAAAATCTCTTTTTTGGCAACTGTATTGTGGTACTGTAAGTTTTTCAAAAATAATTTCAATTCTCTCACTTCTTTCCCTCGACAAAATAACCCCAAAAAAATCCAAAAGATTGAGATATCCTCAAAACTACATTCTTCTATATCTTTCTTCCGGTTCTATCAACCCTAATGCTTCTATGTTCGATCTTTGTTTTCTTTTAGTTTGAAGTTTTGTGAAACGTTCTCAAAAAGGCAGAAAATTTACAGTGGCGTCGTCAAGTGGTGACACAAGCTCCTTCGGATAAGTTTCCATTTTGTTTGGTGTTGAGATTTCATTTATTGCTTTTTTTCGAAGGGATTTTAAAAGTCATTCTAATTTTTTTTTTTTTTTTCTTCACTTTTCAATTTCTGTTGTGAGTAATTTCTTTAATTTTCTTTGAAGCTTAAATGATTTATTCAAGCAATTTCCACTTGGAGTGTTCATTATAGTTTTCTTTATGATTTATGATTGTCCTTTTAGGATAAATAGTGTTGTGATTCAGATATGATGGTGTTTTGGTGAATTTTTCTGCTACTCGCATTTACATACGCTACCTGTAGATTCTTCCTTATGCTAATCCCTTCCAACGCGCCGCTGTAGATGTTGATGCCACTGATGATTCAGCTCTGCTTATAGGTTTTTTATTTTTGATTTTTTCAGTTTTGTATAGATTTTATGTGTTAAAAAATGAATCTATATGAATGCCGGGGACACTCATAGACTACTTGATTATATATTTCTATTGAAATGCACCTAAAGGTTTAGGAAATGAAGAAGACGAGAGTTCTGCTAAATTTCTGTTTCTCTAATTTTTTTTAACCATTAAAATTTAGTGGCTACTTAAGAACTATAATATATTGTAAGTGCATTTAAGATTGGGTTTACCATTTCTCTCAATTGGATGGTTAGAAAATTTGACTTTCTGTAGCTTTTTAAATTATCAGTTTTTGTATGTATAAAAGTTAGGGCAGAACTAATCATGAAAATAATTTATGTGCATTGGCGACTGAGTTTTCAATGTTTTTTTTTTTTTAAATAATATGACGGGGGAGTCTGCAGCCGCTATCATTCAGGTGCATACTGGATAAAACCTCGGACTGACGCAATAGCCTGCAAATCATGTCAGTCAGGTAAATTGCACTAAACAAACCCTATGCGACAGACCTGACCGAGAAAGTGTTGGTAGGGGGTATTGAACTTGTGACCAAAGGCCTCCGCACTTACTTACTCCACCAATTCGGCTACCCCATGAGGGGCAAGTTTTCTATGAATTGGATGATTACAATGTTGGATGATGGAATCAAACAAAGGAAAATAGCTTCATCTATGTTTAGTTTTTTAAACACTGTTTATTTTGCTATTAGGATAAGTAATTTTCTTTAAATGGTGTGAATTTTACCTTCTATTAGATAAATTTTATTTGAACTACTTATTTCTTTTATGTATTTTTATGTGCATAGAATGAAATATTAAGATATTAAACTAATTCTGATATTATCTTTGATTCTATCGGACATTCCAAAAAAATAAAAGAAAAGCATTAAAAGAAGGTTTTGATTTCATTAGTGATGAATGGGACTTCAAGCATGCTTTGTTAAGCTTAAATTTAGTCTAAAATCACCTTTAAATTTTGTATCGAACTTGTTTCCCTGTGCTCATTCGTAAAACCTTTATTTGTAATTTAAGTATATTAGCAAAATTATTTTATCTGTTGAGACGCATAAATTACTGCCAATTCAAATAATTTGTTTATACTTTCACCAAGTCATACATAGAACTTCTCTTCTGCCTTTAATTAAATTAGCTAAACATGAACTTCCTTTTCTGATAGAACGAAAGAAAGAGAAAACACATATTGAATGTATTTACATTGTATATTCATTATTCTTTTTCCATTGTAGAACTTAATCTGATTATATTGCAAACAGTATAAACCATCTGTTGGTCTATTTATACCTCAAAACAATAAATTCTAGTGACTATGATATTTTTTTTACGTAACAATGATGCCTTAAAGTAAAAACTGGAGAAGAATTTATTCACCTTTGGGATTGTCTTAATTTGGCACTTGTGTTTGCATGCTACATAATGATTTATTTTTTCTAAGTTAATTTAGAGTATTTCTGTGTAGATAGTACAAGTTAGTATCTTCTCAATTTGTGACTGAATTTTCGTTCTGATACCTTAAAGAAGACAAACTGATAAAGTCCAGTGTTATGAGACTACAACAATGAATTACCTGGGCTACTTCCCGGCACTGGAACCTGGTGAGGTTAGAAGTTGCTGGTTTTTTATATATTGGCCTTTTCTCTATATTTAGTTCTTCTTCCTTCCTTTAACTAATATATTCTATGTACGTGGATTATTCAATTCTAGGTAACAAGATACCTTGTTTTCGGGATGTAGAGTTGATTGGACTTTCGATGTATCATCTTGATTAATAGCTGATAAGGACAGAAGTTTTAATTTATTTTTTTAACGGTTAGTCTTAAATTTCTTCAAGACTTGGATACATTAAAATTAGAATTTGAGTAACGCAAAGCAATTCCAACTTTAATGTGATATCTACTAACTCCTTTCAACAAGTATAAAATTCAGCTCAGGTACTTACGTTGACCTTTCTATGTTAAATGTCTGCTCTTGGAGTTACAATGTCCCTTTTGTATACAGACCATATTAAAGCTACAAACTGATAGACACCTGCTTTAGAATTTGTTTCTATATAATGTGTCCAATTTATTTAGTGGTCATGCTACTGAATAGTTGACTTGGGATGCAGTTGTTTGATTACTAAGTTTTTTTTTTAATTTTTATCCATACATGCGAGGGGATTGAAGAAACATTTGAATAGACTCAATGCTCCAAAGCATTTGATGCTTGACAAGCTTGGCGGAGCATTTAAGTGAATAATTATGTAGCCATGTGTATATTTCTTCTTCTGGTATAGTCATTGCCATTTTAATGTAACGTGTTTTGGTCCATGGGAAGGCGTGAACTGATAAGACTTATCCAGCTGGCTTCATGGGTATGTGTCGTGTCTGGGTTCCTTTCCTTATCGGTATGTAATGTAATGACGGTAAATGGTACAAGAGTGAGTTTCTTATGGTTAATCGATGCCTTTCACATCCAGATGTTGTCTCCATGCTAAACGAGAACTTCTGTCTGCTCTATGACACCAAGGGGCAGATTTCGATTCCATTTAATCAGGGACGAAGAGGCAAAGGTCTGTTACAGCGGCTTTATTTTTTCACTTGTAGGTTCTCCTGAGAAATAGTGCTATTTCCCAGAAGTTAATTTTAGAATTTTCGAAATTCTCTTCCTTACTACTATTGGTCAGTCAGATGTTCTCATCTTGATTTTCTGAAAGTAGATATTTTCTTCTTGGATGACGAATTTTTTTCAAATAATAACTAGGGAACCAATTGTTTTGCATTGGAGTCCTGTTATAATAATCTCTCTTGAGTAGATTTTTCAAATAATAGCTAGGGAACCAATTGTTCCATGTTGGAGTTCTTGTTATACTAATGTCTCTCATATTACTTTATGGTAATTTTAGCTGTGGTCTGATGCAATATTTTTTGCCTCCGTCCAGTTTAAGCTTTCAAAGGTTCGATCTGTCCAGTTTGGGAAAAATGGGTTCTGGCTAGGGATTTCAGTCAAATTCCGAAAATATCCCTGGGATCAAAATAAACCGCATACAAGCTCCAGATTAATTGGCTGTAGATCGCCAGAGGTTTCAGACAATATATATGAACCACATTAAGTAAAAATTTGTATGATTCTGAGTTTGGAAAATAGAAATTACATTTCTAATTGCCGATATGATTCTCATGCTTGTTAATTCTCATCAGGTTGGGCTGTTATGCTGTTCAATCTTATGTAGAGTAGATTCTGACATAGCTCTTTCCATGATCATCCAGTAAGTGATCCCATAAGCTCATAGTACATGACAAAATTTTGCTTACTAAACTTTAGTCGAGAAAAAAGATTAAATTATCAGATGGAATATCCATTCATACTTTCATATTTAGTTAAAAACATCAATGAAATGAGAAGAAAAGCTTTGTAAATCACTTACCACAGGAAAAAATGTTTCTTATTTCTATTTGTCAGGAAGATATTCTCTTGTTCATTGAAGAACTCAATTAGTCACAAAATAGATTACTTATTTATCCTATTCTATAAATCAAGCTTGTTCTAAAGGGTTATTTCTTCACTCTTCTAGGAATGACAGTCCTCGTGGCCATCTTATGCAGCTAAAGTGGAAGTAGCACACTTTCGGGATTCTTCTATGGCAAGATAAAAAATAGAGATTTTATATTGTTTCCGCTCTGGAGGATACAAATTTGGATTTGAAAGGTATATGTACTTTCAAATTTTATAGCTTCTCTAAATTTTGCAAATCACTAAATATTCTTCAATAGCTTTAGCAAGGGGAATTATAAAGTAGTTTTGCAAATCAAATACTCGTGTCACCTTTCAAAAGTTGGGGGGAGGAAATAGTGGAAGATGGCCGGTTGGGAGAGAGGGGGAGAGAGGGAGAGTTGTTGAGGCAAAAACGATAAAAGAAGCTGTAGAAACACAGGTTTCGAAGTTGAGTTCGCGGAACAATAAAGGCTCAACATCAAAGTAATCCTTTCCAATCTACTCTCATATTTCAATAAAGAACAAGCAACGTGGATGCTCAAATTCATGTGACTATCAGGTTGTTTTACCCCTTTAGCTCATCTGGTGGGGCGATAAAACGATAATAAGTATTTCTTGAAAAGTAAAGTAAAACTTTATATTTGTTGTAACATTTATGTTAATACTATAACAAATGTCATTTTTTTTTAACGAATGCCTACCATCTCTATGATTTGAATTTTTCAAATGATATTCGCTGATCTTTGATGTTTTATTGCATGTGAAATATGAGAAAGTCCATCCAGTTTAACAATTGAAAGCATTGAATTGAAAGTATTATATACAAGAATCCAACACATTATAAAAACTAATATTACCATTAAAATAACCTAGTCCATGCATTGCACGGGCAACAAACTAGTACATAAGAAGAGAAATTGTTTTAAAAAAAAAAATGTATCTTGTTCATTTTTTATTATTATTATTTTTTTAGATATTCAGTTTAATTAAAAAAGGTGCATATATGTTGGGTTGGACGTGGGTTGGATTGGGTTATTTTTTATCCAAGCCCAACCAATTATTAGTTTAAACCCAACTCTACCCAAATCGATGGATTGGTTTGGGTTAGGTTAGGTTGATCGATTTGAGCTTAAATCAATTCAAGTTGGATCTAATTTCTTTTGTTGAATTTGAACAACATTTAAAGTTTGAAATCGTTTGAAAATCTCTATTATTTTTAATTTATATAAGGGATTCATTCGAAAATTTAATTTATAAATAAGTTTGAAACTATGGAACACTTTCTCTTTATAAATTTTTAAGATTTATTCATTTCATTATCATGTAATTAAATTTTAGTTTATCATCAAATTATTTGCATTTCTACTTAATATTCATACCAATCAGCCTATGTATAAAAGTGGGATGTTTTTACATTCTGAATCATTCTCTCGTCTCTACTATTGTGTCTATTCAAGTTTATTCATTTTAAGTATTAAATTTTTAATTCATCGAATTGGGTTGGACTGAATTGGATTTTAATTCATAGACCAAGACCCAACTTGACCCGACCTCAATTTTAATTTTTCAACACAATCCTACCCAGTTGAACTTAAGAACAAATCCAAACCGATCGATTTGGGTTGGGTTAGTCGGTTTCAACGGTTTTGGTAGATTTTTGTCCAGTCCTCCCTACACGTCAATATAATTATGACTTTAAAAAATATAATAAAAGACTTGAAGAGTATCATAAAAGACTTGAATGTTTGAAGCATCACGTTCTTGAAATCAAAGTATTTTGTAATTTAAGAAAGTTGAAAGTTCATGATTCAAATCTGAATCAAGATTTGATTATCGGCTTTGAATAAATTCTTAATCTAAGTTTCTTGTTTGTAATTTACACGTGAACATATAGTAACGATAGTGTATTCTTAAATTAAAGAAAATTTTGATATTCTAGGTAATTCTTATTTAGCATTCTAACATTAACAACTTTCAATTGCTAGAGCACAAACAATAGAGATAATTGCTTTTGTGCCTGGCCACTAGGAACCTCCAATAACAACCGCAACCCCAAAAGTTTTAACGGGTCATAGCTCAACTTGTTAAATATCAGAGAAAATAATGCTATGCAATAATGCAACACATCATCTTAAGTACTAGATAATAACGATGACTAGACAAACTAAAGGGTAGTTGAATTTCTTTAATTACTTTGTTTTTACTCAAATGTGAAATTTAACATTGAGACAGATTCAACATTAGTATTAACAACATACAAATTGCTATAGCACAACCAATCAAGATAATTGCTTCTGCGGTCACCAGGAGCCTCCAATCACCACGAGGATCCCTCGAAGTTTTAATGAGGTCATAGCTAAACTCCATGAACTTCAGATAAGGTGAGTGCTACCTTAGAAATTGAAGGATTTAATGCTTCTCTTGGCTGTAAAAAAAAGTTGGGTTTAGGTGGGATTTGCAGAGATTCTATATTCCCTTCCAACATTTCTATAACCCTGCTCATTGAAGGTCTAGCTGTAGGATCAGTATGTATGCACCACAATCCAACTACTAACATTTTCCTTATCCTCAAATGTTCATTTGCATTCACAATGATGTTCAGATCAAGTTTGACACTCTGTTCAAGGTTCTTATATATCCAATCAGGAAAGTAATTTTCACTTGAATGATCAATTCCGACTTTGATATTTTTCGTCTCTCCAGCCATTTCCAAAATCATCATACCATAGCTATAGACATCTGACTTGTAAGAAACATTTCCAAAGTTTCTACAAACTATTTCTGGAGCTATATACCCTATTGTCCCTCTGGCCCCTGGCATTGACACTATACTAGACCTGTTAGGACAAAGTCTTGCTAGGCCAAAATCTGATATTTTAGGATTGAAGTCTTTATCTAACAGAATGTTATGAGGCTTTATGTCAAAGTGTAAAATCCGTGTATTACATCCTTGGTGCAAGTATTCTATTCCATGAGCAATGCCTAGTGCGATTTGAAACAATTGCTCCCATCCTAACTGACATTCTGCTCTGGAGAATATGAACTTCTCAAGAGATCCATTGGGCATGAACTCGTAAATGAGAGCTCTTTTGGAACCCTCAAAGCAAAATCCCAAGAGAGTGACAATGTTAATGTGGGAAGTTCTACTGATACTTGCAACCTCATTGATAAATTCTTCTCCGAAGCCTTTGGATTCTTTCAAAATCTTTACTGCTACAAGACGACCATCGGATAACTTTCCTCTATACACCCTAGCAAAGCCCCCTTCCCCTAAGTTGTCTCTAAATGAGTTAGTCATTTTCTTAATATCAAAGTAGTTGTATCTTCTTGTTGCAAGAATCTCATTGTTCTTTAGGAAGAGGTCAATGTCCTTATCGTTTTGCATCTTTTCCTTCAAATACAGCATGTACTTCCTCTTGTTGAAAGCGAACAAGATTATGAAGAAGAGGACTGTCGGTGCAACTAAAACAACTGTGATGAAAAATGATGTCAATACTATTTATAAAGCAAAAAAACAGAACCAATGGTATTGAAATTTCAAAAAGTTACCTGCAATCAAAATCAATTTCAATTTTCTTCTTCCTACAGTTGAAGTCAAAAGACGTGTCAGATTAAGAGAACTTTATAAAAATAAGATGGGAATTCATTTTTCTTATTACACTCTCTTTCCAGAATGTAAATCGTTACAGGGTAGGATTCATGAACACATGATTTCATACAGTAGTGGAATAAATTTATTAGGTGTTAAGATTTTCTATTGAGTTGTTTGGTATAGAAAATCACTACTGTGTAATTCAATAGACTTTGTAGTCTGGAAATGATTTAAGACTCTGGAGACCACTAAACCCCTATAGATTACAATGCTAAAAGATAAAACTATAAAAAGCGACATAAATAAAATTAGCCTAGTTTCTTTTGGGTTGGACTACAGATTACAATGCTAAAAGACAAATTGGATTCGACATAGACATCTAGTGTGGACTAGTTTCTTTGAGCCAATATTATGATGTAGATGAGGATTTTGGCCAAACAATTTTGGGATGGACTTATTTACGTCATAAAAAGAGCTCAAACAAACATGCTACACAAAGAAATTCAATGATAGGGTTAAAAAAATAGGTGAACACGGGGCACAGCATCATTGAACAATTTGGAAAAAAAATTATCCACACAAGTGCTAACAACTAAGCACCTGTTCGCAGTCCCTATTTAAATATCATTATTGATTTTATATAGTGCTAACTCTGTCCCTTAGTAGGTCCCACGGTCACATAATTGGATGCATCATTCTAGGATTTTGGCAATTCAAGTCGAGAATAATAAATATTTAAAGTGTTTGAAAATTACAATTTCAAAATTAAGAAATACATTATATAATTTCAAAAATCATGTCATAATTAAAATTTATTAGCAAAAATATTTTATTAATTAAATATATTAATGTAATAATATTATACAATTTATGATCACAATCACAAATTTTAAAGTTCACAACTTATTTATCAGTCACAAATTATCAAATGAATTGATCATATATTATTTTTCGGTCATAAATCAAAAATGTCATAGGTCACAACTAAGCTTGGGCACAGTTTGGTTTGGATCGATTCCGACCCCAACCCGAGCCAAAATCAAATTAATCGATTTGTTTTGGTTCGGTTTTGGTTAGTCGATTTAGACTTTCGTCCAAAATGAGTTTTTTTTTTTTTTAGATGTACGAATTTTGGATCCACTTAGATTAAAAGAACTATAAATAAATAAATAACTTTATATTACAAAAATTATTGACTAACAAACAAAATCAAGTTACTAAAGACGGATCAGCATAAAACTTAAGAATTTTATTGTTTTTGTATACATTATGTAATTTGACTGCCTGAATAGAAGAAAAATGGCTAAGTATAATATAATGAGTGTGAAATGAAATTTCTAGTGTTATTATTTACCGACAACATCATAGATGTGAAGGAATATGAGATATAGTTATAAGATTAAAGCTTATATTTTGATTTTTATTTTTCTTTAAAAAAAAGGTAAACATGTAAGTATATTAACCAGTGATTAGGTGCTTCAAATCATGGCTGTACCGACTTACTATGATTTTGTTTAAAAGAAAATCAAACAAAATCAATTACCTGTATCAAAGCAACCCAAATTGGCCTGAGTTGGTTCGATTTGATTAGTCTGGTTGATTTTTCGATTTTTTGACTAGTCATATTCACAACTTATTTCACAGTCATAAATTATCAAATTAATTGGTCATAATCACTTAAGTTATTAGTCACAAAAGCTCTTCATCCCATCCACCGCCACCACCACCACCACCACTAATAATAACAACAACAATCGTCATTTGCAAACTTTAAAGCAAAAATAAATTTCAAACTCACCATCGTCTGTGCAATCTAGATGCTGCACTTCCAAAGCAGTTTCAAACTCTCATTTCTCTTCCCACGAAATCAAATCCACCACTGTCGCCACCCGTCAACCACCATATCCTCAACATTCAAATCACCAAAACACAGCTCCCTTCTCAGATCTAAACCACCCCAAAATACCCTGAAACCAAACGTAGTGGTAAGCATCGTTGATGCACTGCTACACACGAAGCAGCATTGTCTTGAGCATATCTGCGCAGCTACATCATTGCAACAGCGGCTTCCACAATGTAGTGACAAAGAGATAGAAAAGGAACACTTTCGAAGAAAGAGAGATGGTTTTTAATGTGTTCGAGTGAGGTAAGTGGGTGAGTTATTAGTATTGTACTAATTTAATACATATTAAATAATAATTAGAACCTAAATTTTGAAATATGAAATACAAACTTTAGAAAGAGTCTGGGCATAATTTCCACATTCAAGTATGCTGCAATTATTAATAAATAGATAGTTACAACAACATGGGCCCTAGAAATATAAATTGAGCTCGTTAGCTCAGGCGGCTCGTGACTCGGCTTGAGAAAAGCCCAAATCGGCCTGGCCTATGGCTCGAAAAAATCGTGCCCCATTTTGGGGTGTTGATTCATGCTCGAGCAACAAAAAAAGAGTAATAAAAAGTTAAAATGGCCTGTCAAATCTACCGCCTTAAGGCAACAAATTAGCTACCGGCTAAGGCAACTTTATAAGCTGCCTTAGTCGACAGCTTTACCTTAACGGGTAGCTATAAAATTGCCTAATGGGCAACTACTTGAATAAGCAACAATTTTGAGTTTTTGACCGGTAGAAATTCAAATTTGAATTCAAACGGTTTGATTTTTTTGGTTATAAATATGGGTTAGATTTCTCAGTTTTTATCAATTTTTTCAATCAATTTTAACTTCAGTATTCGAGTTTCAAGTTTCAACTTCAATCTCTAATTTTTTTTGCTTCAATAATTTGTTTTTTTACTTTAATATTCAGTAACATTCGTTATAATAATTATAGAATATAGATGGATTTTACTGGTGATGAGATTAATCAATTTAAGAGTAGTTTGAGTACTCCAACTAACTCTCAAAACATTCCAATTGATTTGGAGGATATCGAAGAGGAAGAAGTATTCGAGACTACTAAAAGGTCAAAAAAAGAATCATCAAATTGTAGGCAACATATGACACGTAAAAAAATTGTGTTCAAAATAGAGTTGATATTTGAAAAGCATGTTGCAATTACTATGGCAAATAACTTAGTTGGGAGCCTAATTCAAGCACAACGCATTTGAATAGGCACATATTGAAGAGTTGCAAAGTGAAACTAATCGGTCTTGACCCAAAATAGACCGAACTAATATTTGACAGTTTTGGTTCTACTATTTCCACCTTTGTATATTCACAGTAAAGATTTTGCGAAGGAATGGTTGCATACGTTGCTGCAGCAGAGATGCCGCTTACAATAATAGACTCAATTTACTTTACTCGACTCATACAGAATTATCTCCAACCCAGGTATACTACTTATTGTAGAAATACTCTTCGTTCAAATACTGTGAAATTATTTAACAAAATAAAACAAGTTGTTATTGAACAACAAAAAACTTTTAATAGTGCGTTTATCATTTATCTATGATTTGTGGACCAGTGTTAATAAAAAAATGTTATGTTGTTTCTACGGCTCATTACATTGATCACCTATGGCTTCTGCATAAAAGGATTATTGCATTCAAATGTGTAGAATACCCTCATAATGCAATCAATATATACATGGTTTTAAAAGATATTTTACAAGAATATGGTATGCAAAAAATGGTTCAAAGTTTTACTTTTGATAATGTTGATATAAACAAACTTGTTATCGATAAATTTATTAAAGACTTTAACCCTGCATTTGGAAATTTATTTTTTCATCAACGTTGTGTATATCATATTATCAATTTGATTGTAAAAGATGGATTGGAACATATAAAAATCACTTTTAGATAAAATTAGACAAGTAATAAATTTTATTCCTATGTCACCAGCCAGAAGGCAAACATATAACAGTTTGTGTGCAGAGTATGGCTTACAAGAAAAACATTTTTCACTGATGTAACACATAGATTAAACTCTACATATCTTATGTTACATTCATATAAAAATTATGATAAAATTATTTCATTATATTATACTGGTAGGCATATATACAGACGCGAACATAATTTGGAAGATTGAGAATGGTTTATTACATTTTGTGTGATGAAATTTTTAAAAAAAAAATTCGATACTACAAAGGAACTTAGCGGTGTTCATTACTCTACATTTTCACTTGTTTTACAACTTTTTTTTTTTTTTTTTTTAACATTTCACACACCTTTTATAAATATATGAGTTTGCCATTTTTGTTAATGTAGTCTACTCAATGGAGTTAAAATTTCGTAAATATTGAGAAAATTTGCTATCTTTATTTCTTTTAGTTTTGGTGATGGACCATTTACTTAATTTAACTGACATAAAAGTTATTATAAAGGGGATTTCAAATTTTATGAATTTAAAATTATCACATGTGCATATAAAATCTACACTATGTGAAACGTATTACTGTTACGCTGAAAAAGAAGGTCATGGCAACTCTACTTCCCAGAGTTCCTTTTCAAGAAATATTTCAACAAATTCAAATGATGTACGAAATATTTGGACACCAATACAAGTGTTACCTCATTTAGTTCTAATTCATCAATATCTAAAGCGATAGATGTTGGTGGTACAAATTTTGAAATTCCCTTTGAGTTAGCTAGGTATATGTGCGTGTACGTTCGTAATGTGTTACAACCAAAAGAATCATAAAAATTTAATCTTCTATGAGGGTGGAGGTGTAATGAAATGTAATATTCAATTGTATCAAAAATTGCACGTAATCTACTAACACCTCCGACGTCTACAGTGGCATTGAAGGTTGCGTAGTTTAGGTTGTCGAATTTTATCAGACGAACGATCAAGAGTAAAAGAAGATATATTTGAGGTTTTAATATGTTTAAAGGACTACGAATGTGCGGAATTTCATATTCAGGAACAAGTTGACAGTATAATGACCGAAAAGTTACACTAGATCCAAACATAAGATATTGTAAATTTTTAAATTGATTAATTTTCAAAAAATACATAATTTTTAAATTTATTTGTCTCAAAAAAATTGTATACGAAATATTTTATTCACGTATAATTTTAACTCTGCCTACTTTGATTGTAGCCGTCCCAAGTCCTAAAAATGAATGAGGGTTGTAACATTCATTTAATTTATAATTTGTAAAAATTGTACAAATTAAATATTTTTTTTTTTAAAAAGTTGGAATTGTCATGAAGTTTAAAAAAAAAACTCGCTAGTTGGCTCGGCTCGGTTCGGTAATGCCCAAGCCGAAAAGCACTGGCTGAGCCTAGATTTCTTGTCTGAGCAAAAGTTCGGCTCAAGCTCGCAAAAAAGTTCGGACCATTTTATTCTAGTCAAGCTCGAGCCAAAAATTTTGCTTGCGAGCCTAGTGGGCCCGATCCATAAATTTCAAATTCACTAGGCCAGTCCACTAAGATTGTTTGAAGTTGCTACTTATTAACAGAATGTTGGTGCAATGAGTTGGGTCGGAAAGTCTATGGGATTGGGATATTTGTAGGGATGAGAAATGGCAAAATGGTGGCGACCTTTTCCGAAGTTCTCGCAAGTAATATTGATCCACTGGTGGGTGAGTGCATGGCTATTTGGGATGGGCAGAAATTTGCACGGGTCAAGGTCTTGATCGTAGTAGTACACTGGTTGCTATTCGGAATACACAGAAGAAAAATTTTAGGCTACTAAATTTACCTTACATGTTCTGTTAACATACGCTTGTGCCTTTTTTATGGAAGTAAGAAAGTAGTGTTAAAATCTTGTTTGTTATCGTGTGAACAATAAACGCGTCTTAAGAAAAAAAATATAACATACCTGAATCTGCAATTCCGCAACTCTGGCGATGGGGTCCGTCAGGGCAGAAGCACCTGAAACTGTTTGTAGCGGTGTTAAAGCCACAACGGCCGCCATCTCTCTGACATGTACTGCAGTCACTGGCTTTCCAATTCAGTTCAAACCCTCTTCTCAAAATCTCCTCGTACTCTCCCACTACAATCCTCTCTTCATCTCCCTGCACTTCCACCGGCGCCACCACATTTTTTTCGCAATTTTCCAATCCATTCTGCAAATTTTCATCCATATCCCAAATTGCTAAATCCAAATTATCTCTATTCTCACCCTGACAGTCAACCTTGTATGGCGAAAGATCCTTAGGCAACGGTTCTATACAATTGGACAACAAATAAAGATTTGTTACATTAACATACTGAAACTCTCTAACAGGAAGTGTCGTGTTTCTGATTTGTGGAAGGCATCTGCCTTCTAAATTACTCAAAACAGCAGCATTATAAACACGAAAAGAACGACTAGGATAGGAAATGTTTTCAACTATATAGTCATTTTCGGGTAAACTAATCGTTGGATAGCCATGTTTGCCGCAATTGAGATGGAATCCGGGGTAACCGCAGTAGGATTCTTGCATACCTTCAATATAGAATGGAAATGTAATGTTTGGGCCATTGCCACAATTACTGGGCACGCATGCATCGTGCCGAAAATCAGTAGCAGAAGATTTTCTTGATAAAAGGATAAGACAGAATATACAAATATCTAAAGATGTCAAGAAAACTGTATATTTCATGTTTTGGTGAAATGAATTCCAAGCTTCAGACACAAATGGTTGATTGTCTTTGCCTTCCTTATTTATTTCGCAAGTATTGACCAATCTGTGAGTCCAGTGTCTGTATAGTGAAATTCTTGAATATTTGTGCAAGGTTTTACTGGTTTTTCATTTTGCGCGTTGGATTATGCAAGAAAGAGGCCACAGATTCAATTGCCATACATCAATTTGTTTGTGCAAGTGGATGGAAAAAATTAAACTGGTCCATGATTCTACCAATTACATTTGTGGACTATATTGCAAGCTGTCCACTGCTGATGGGATGTTTCTACCGTAGACCATGCGATACTTCCACTCCCTTTAATTTGCGTAGTTACTACGTTAGACTGAATATTACGATAACCTCAAGTCTTGGTCGCTGTCTTTATTGGATATAATTTCTGAGTTAAGAAAGAAGTATTTAAAGTTCTTAAAAATTATACTCCCTTTGGAAACTTGAAAGTTTAGATGGTATTGAAATTAACATGTTTGAGTACCTGAATTGGTTGTTGAAAATGTTATAATTCTCTATATAGAACCTCAATGACATATTATCATTCGAGTGAATACTACCATCCACTTTTTTCTCTCTTATCATCTTGAATGTCGCAATGTCATGATTTGAGTGATTCAAGTCCGAGGTGTCATGATTAAACAGTAAATTCTACCACTTGAATGTTATAAAACCGTCTTACTAAAGTTTTTCTCCTAAGGTTAGTGGTTAAGGGTTTGTTTTACAAATATTTTGATAATAAAAGAAGAAGAAGAAGAAGAAGAAGAAGAAGAAGAAGAATAGATTTTAGTAAAAGTTTATGAAATATATAGTTGAAAGTTGATAAAAATTGTGGATCCCATGAAATATGTGTTCTAGATTCAAGTTTGACCAATTAAATCGTGCTCTGAAATGTTGGCAAAATGGTACCTTTTACACGTTGAAATTGACTATTTGTGTCACATGTACATTATTTTTCCTCTCAGTGGCAATCAATACAATCATCTAACAGCTTTCATTCTAGATTATAATCTATGCCTAATCGTTCGAACAAGTCAGCTAAATCTGATGTAGGCTATAATTTGAGTGGCAAGTAAAAAAATTTATAAATCAAGCACAATGCGTATAGACATTCCGTCTAGAGGGATTGATTCAAAAATTCCATAGATTGGACCATAAAATACTGTAGCATATTGGCAACAAGTTGATCTAGATTTTGTGCATACCAAGTGTTTTTCCACTTTCCCTTTAAAAGCGATGTCCAACTTTGGCTAATATGTTTCCAAACATTTCATGGTTATTCACGATATTTGATACCCCCAAAGAGATAATAATAAAATTAAAATAAAAAAAAACCCCTAAAATTTGATTAGCTAGACATTAACACGTTTACATAAGAAAAAGAGAAGAAAACCGAACATTTCATGGTTATTCACGATATTTGATACCCAAAAACAAAAACAAAACAAAAAAATACCATAAAATTTGATTACCTAGACATTAACACGTTTACATAAGGAAAAGAGAAGAAAAACGAGACGGATACAAAGTATAAGTTTAATTTATAGTTTGATCTTTTTAAATTCAATCGGTTTCACGGTAATTTGACGTGAAAAACCCAAGACTCATTGTACGCCCCCAATGACCCACCCCAAGAATTTAGCCCTGTTTAGTGCCTTTATCCCG